TATGCTTGTGTGTATGTTTGCTTGCTTGCTTGTTTGTTTGCTGTACGTTTGTATGTATGTATGTATGTATGTATGTATGCATGCATGTATGTGCCTGTATATGTGTGTCTGCGCATACACATACAGAAATGACAAAAGTATGTGTGTATGACACCTTTGCAGCATAGTCATGCGATGCACAGGGACCAGTTTGGCAGTTTTTCAAACTCTTTGAACCGAGAAGTGGTCAGAGAGGAGGACGGGAGAGTTCCGCGGGCACGTGACTGCGACGCCCTCGACATGTCTCGGACGTATGCCATGGCCTGAGGCTCTGACAGTTTGTGGGGCGTAAGGACCATGTAGTTACGAATACCCATGTACTAAAACCCTAGACCCTCAACCCCAAACCCTGAAAACCCAACAAGGACTGGAACCTGGGCTTCTGCGCGCAAACAGCGCAGACGGCCGAGACCCTGACCATCTTGTTGATCTCGGCCCGGATGTCCCAAGGAAAACGAGACATGCCTGGAGTGCATGGTTTCGGGTTTAGGGATCAGGCTTAGGGGTTTAAGGTAGATAGGAATTGAAGCCTCTGTGAATCAGAATCACGCCAGCGGAAGGCCACGAACCGAGAGCTGCACTGGAAAAAAAGTCGATGAGGTCCAGCACAACTTCCTTTGCAAAACAAGAGCTCAGGGCTCGGAGGTCTCAGGTTTTGGATGCGGGGCTCTGCGCTCCTTCTGTAAGGCGTTAGAAATTGGAAGAGAGAGAGAGAGAGAGAGAGACAGAGACATATATATATATATATATATATATTCACATATGTATGTATGTATGTATGTTTATATATATATATATATGTGTATATATGTATATACTTATATATATATATATACATATATATATATATATATATATATATATATTATAATATATGGCCTGGCGATATACTTTCAATTCTTGGGCCTCCCGCGGCTCGGATATGACAAGCAGGAGGTGCTGCGGTGTTTCTATGATTAATGCTACTTCCGGTGGACGCACTGACAGTCATGAGCGAGCCTGATACAGTGGAACGCTGGGATTATCCACATCCTGTAGCAGTGAAGCCCCAAACGTGCTTCCGTATAGCTCAAATCATACCGCCACTCTGGCAAACACGAAACTTTCGTCTAGAATGCCCGCTCCTCTCCTCCCAACAATCGGAAGGGTCTACGAATGAACAGGCTTCCTATCTCTGACCGTCGCCTCAAAACTTACTTTAAGCCAAACAGCCTTGACATATCTCCAAGTTCTGCAAGACATGAGCCCCAAATAGCCCTAAACTGTTCTGCGGTACGCTTTGACACAGGTGCCCTTTCAAATCAGTGAGCTGCTGGGTGATTGCTTCTGCAACCTAGTCGTAGTTTAAACAGCCCTAATGCATAACACACCTCGAAAAACCGATCAATATCCTGCAGCACAATCCCTGCCTCACAAGGAACCACAAGTCCTTCGCCCAACCCCCGGAAACCCTCAAGTAGCCCTGAGAAGAGCAAGTCAAAAGGCCTGAAGCCATGGCACTTTCCAGCACATATAAAGCCCTCCACAACTCAAGAATCCAGATAGCCGAGTCACTGAGATACTTCAACGAACCTCAAATCCCTCAAGACCGTCCTAAACCCGAACCCCTAAACCCTGCATCCTAAGCCTAACGCTAAACACTAGATCCCTCAGCACCGTCGACCGGGCTCCAGACGCCTTTTAACCGGTGCTCGAAGCTGTCAAACTTGCCGTGGTACCACTGCCACATGGCGCAGACCTGGGTTTCGTGCTTTGTTCTACTGCAAGCCCAGACACTCGAACACCCCTCAACAAAATGTAGGCTCGTTGCTGTCAGAGTCGTTTCAGACTTCTGCACTCAAGAGCTCGTAGGCTTTCTTGCTTCAAAGTTCGTATTACTACTATTAGCATCTGAATTGTTGCTACTTTTACTATGATTACTTTTCAGTATTACCACTTTTGTCTCGCAGCCGTTTATCGTGTCTGTCCTTCGTCGTGGTCTGGCCACATGCTCTATGCACGGTATCCCAAACCACTTTTCCATACTTCACGCTTAAGACTTCACGCTCTAAAGGCACACCCCCTCCCTTAACCGTCCAAGTCGGTTGGATGTGAGATTTCAAAGACTGAGCCCGACAACAAACAAGCTAAACCCTTAACTCGGAAAGTAATTATGAAATAGGGGCCTTAGTAATTAGAATCGGGTTTGGGGGTCCAGTATAATAATATCGGCAACTACTAAGGCCCCTATTTCATGGAACCTTTATCGTAACCCCTGTAGTAACCCTGAGAGGACCCTTTTAAAGGAGCCTTTACCACTTCTGAACTGGGCTCATAGCATCTCTGGACGACGGGAGCACCCCCGTGTCCATGGCATGGAAGGTCATCAGAGTGATCCTGGAATTCTCAAGTCCGGCTTTTTTGAAAGGTTTAGTGTTTCGGCTTTTCCAACTGCGATTTCCGGTTTGAGGCTTAGGTAAGGATTTCGGGTTTAGGATTCATGGTTTAAGGGGTTTTGGGGTTTAGGGTTGGTAAAGGGTTTAGGGTTTGCGTTGAACTCCAAGCTCCAACAACTACCGATCTCCCAGAAACCGCCAAAATCAGAGTCTCACACGGCATAACAGAAACATGACACTTGAAACCCTATAAGTCCTAATACCTTATGAACCCGAAACCCCTGCTCATCTGCATGTTGAATCTAACCGAAACTCCCAAATCTTGATCGCTCCTCGCATACATGACGAAGAGAACAGTGTGCACGATGAGAGTCTCGACCCTTGGCATCGGCTTTCTCTTCAGGTCAAGGCTCCTGGGGTGTACTGTTTTTAGGGTTTGCGTTTTGGGGGCTTCAGGCCTAGGGTGCTTTAGGGTTCGCTGTCCAGGGCTTATGGAATCTTGCCGGGCAGGAAAGCGGTCTTGCAAGATCTTCGAGGGGTCGCGATTGACAGGTTTGCCTTGGGTCGGGAGAACTGCCGAGGGTCTCGGGGTTTAGGGCTTTCGGGTGTAGAGTTTTGGGGATTTAGGGACATGTGCTATTATCATTCTTGTTGTGTTCTTTTCGAAAGAGAAGGAGGAGGGAGGGTCGGGCGCCCAGGCTTAGGCAAGCGTTCACTCCCAGCCTACTATACGGGCCTTAATAATTGGAATCGGAATAGGGTTCTGGCCGTTATACTATTACTATACTTAGAATAAGGACCCCCCCAAAGAAAGTATAGGTACATATTTCGGCCTCTATTTGTACACGTGCGACCAGCACGAGAAGTCCAGAGGTCTCTTTCAATGGTCATAAGGGAGTTTCCGAAACTTAGGGGTGCCTTATTTAAATTTAGGGGTCCTTGTAATAAGGATCCCATTATTTAGGGTACCAGATTAGGGTCCCCTATTTTCGGAAACTCCCATAAAGCTCGCAAGACATGTCCGACGCCGCCACTTAAGACCTGAACCCTATACCCCACATCGCAAGACCTCAGAATCTGAAAAGTCCGTTGGCACAGTATTCGCCGATCACTGAAACCGAAAACCCTCCCCCCTAAGATCCTATAGAACCCGATAGGTCCCTTTACAGAAATATGAGAGTCCCAAGAGGAAAACCCCAGAGGTTCGCAGATTCAAGCCTGTGGGGATGACAGATCTGAGGACAGGGCCGCCGGGCACCTTTCTGTTTGCTTCGCGCTGTTCGTTACGGGTGTGGCTGGAATTTAGGGGTGCAAGGCGACAGGGTTTTGCGGTTTGGAGTTTAGGGTATTCGGTGCAGCAGTGTGTCGATTTTCAGGTTCGAAGGCTTGCGGCTTGCAACTGAATCTTTAGGAAATGCCATGCTCAATGAATGTCTAAATCGTGTAGAGGTCATCTGCATGTGGTTCTTACATAGTTTTACTTTTTTTATACAGTCTATATTCCAATCCCCGACTCTAATTCCGGAGCCTGAATACAAGCAACATCGTCCCCTTAAGTCCCTCTCTCTCTGTCTCTCTCTCTCTCTCGCTCTCTCTCTCTCTCTCTCTCTTTCTCTCTCTCTCCATCTCTGTCTATCGGTGTCTCTATCTGTAGCTACCATCGTCTACCGTAAACCCCATTCTCATTGCTGAGGCCCCCTATACGATTGAGTTTCTAGCCGACTCGAACCAGGCCATATAGGAGTAATGGAAAGCTGATGGAACATTTTCAGGCAAGAGGCTGCCCTACCACCGCCCCGCACTCGCCCGTGGACATGCTGAGCAGCTTAGCTACTTGGGACGCTCTTTGCACTCGCATTGTTGAGTCCTTGATATTTGTTTGTGGTTCTGGTTGTAGCTGTCCGCCGTGGTGTTCAGCTAGGTGCAGATGCCAGCAGTCCCCAAAACTATTTATAACTAGGGCTCTAAACTAAACTATGAGCCAATTTAAAAAATCCCAAATCAATGCCCAGTTAGGGTATGCAAGCTTCGGGTCCGGCCGGTTCTGCTTCGAAGTTGAATTCTTAAGATATGGGGGGTTGTCAAAATTATGGTCCCTTGTTGGGTACCCTAAATATGAGGTGCCGAGGTGCCGTATTATAAAGGACCCAGAAAGGACCCTAATTTCGACAACCACCCATATGGGGAGCCTAGGGGTCAGGGTACACAGGCTACGGGATACAGCAGCAGTGGCTCCTTCTTCGAATTTTGTTGGAGGGCCTGGGATCCCGGTGACTGCGCTGTGCGGAATGGTTTAGGAGATCGGCTTGAGGTTTTAGAACCTTTGTGATTCTGCTGAAAAGTTCAAAGGACGTGGAAGTCAGCTCGTGAAGAAGCTTGTGTTCAGGCGTATAAACATCGAATTACGAGCGTCCTAGCTGCAACACCAGCATGAGCACAACACAGGTCAGTGAACAAAGGGAGCTGGAGGATGCCACTTTGCAGGAAGGCTTTGTGAGATTTGGAGAGCACACGAGATCTCCATTTTAAGTGCATCTCGCAGGCGCAGGATTCTTTTCGGAAACTCCTACAACGAAGGCTCTCACCTTACACACCTGCCGCTCGAGCTGCATTCAGCAGGGTTCGCAACAGGAACTTCGTCAGAGCCGGGTTATCATCGACGATTTCGTCCAACATGGATCTGTTCTTCTCCAGGAGCTCGCTCGCATGTGCTTTCACCATCTCCAGGCACCGGGCCTCCAAGACGCCCCCGCTGCCGATGACCTTGCTCAGAAACTGAAGAACGTTGTCTTTGCAAACTCTTGGCACGAGCTCTGCTTCCACTTCCTGGACCAAGTCATCTAAGCAAAACTGATCTGCAAGCTTCCGCACGGAAAGGGCGACCTCAAAGTCGCGGGCGGCGCGAAAGGGCTGCGACATGAAATGGCAAAGGACCTCGGCTTATGGTCAACTCCCCACCCCGGTTTTGAAACACACACGGTGCTACAATCCTGTTGCCAAGCTCTAGCCGAGGAACTGCCTGCATGCTCGTCCCATCCGCCTGCTCGTTGCTCCGTAAGTCTATGACATTGGTACGACCCTCGACCCATGTCTCTGATGACAGCATGTTCGCGAAATGCGTCGAACGCTCTACCACCAGCCTCTTGTCAAGGTGGAGTTTCGACCCGTCGGCTAAAAGGAACGTGACGAACTCTGGCTCCTTGGAGAAAAGGTCGGGGGGCAAATCTGGGAAAGAGAAACTGTTTGGCAGGAGAGCCACCTCGCCGACAAGGCGAAACTTGCCACCGGTGACCCACTTCTGTTGTAGGATTCTGGCATGGCTTACCAACCATGGGGTCAAAAGACAATGGCGAGACTTGGATAACACCCCCGGGAGCGCCTCGAGTTTTGCCAATCTAACATCGTCGTTTGTAAGCCATCTCATCTGCTGCAGTTCCGGAAAGGTCCAGTCCTTGCCTCGCATCATAGCAGGCGGGCGAACCCGGATACCAGCGCTGACAAACCCCTGGTTGTCTGGCCGTCTCCCGTTTGGGAATACCTGCAGTTGAAACTGCCATCCATGTGGCAAAGCCTTCCACGAGGATAACACCCTTTCGGTGTTTGCCCAACCCACACCGGGATTATCCACAAACACCTCGGCGGAATGCCATACCAACCTCAGTGCCAAGAACAAAGAAGACCGACACCAACACTAAAGTCACCTCTGAACTCGAAAAAGACTTCACTGCACATTGAATCTTCAATCTACAAGATTTGCTTCTAAATGTCGTTCTGTCCTTCTATGAGGTCCAAACTCGCCAAGGATCGTCGAACCATGAACGAGGCATTTGGGCTCTGCCGACTCAGATTCTGACGGCTCTGCCATGGCACGATAAGTCTCCCCACTGTCTGCTAGGGAGGGCAGGAAGTGCGAGTCTCAGATTCGGCGTATTTAGTCTAACCTAAGGGGTTCAAAGACTTTGGGAATCCGGATCCCCTACGAGTTGTGGTACACCAAACCTCAAGTACTGCACCCCATAATTGCAACGACCCGAAACCTTAGGTTCCCCTCAGGTGTCGAAGCTTGGCGGTTCAGGTTTCAAAAGGGTTGAGACCCCAGGTCTAAGTCGGAGAAAAGGCTCAAGCCAACAGGGCAGGGAGAAAATTCTGGAAACTTCGCCGGACCATGCCAAACGATACCAGAGAGCGGGCTCTTTGCTTAGCTTTGTCGAACTGCAAGCTTCAGATAGCGGGCTTCGGTCCTCAACATTCCGGGGAGTCTTATGGTCAAACTTAGCACTCTCATCTGTCGGTTCATCCCCACATACATGCCAGTCAAAGCCGAGGTGGGGGGGGCTTGGTTCTAGTGGCGCTTTCTAATCCTAGTGCTGGGCGCTGGCCTTTCCCTCTGTGAAGCATGTCGCAGTCGAAGTAACGAACCTTGTGCGACACGAACTTCGGATTTGGCAGCTTCGGGGAGACTAGTGGGTTGGTTGTGGATCCCTACAACATAGGCTCATTCAAAATTAGAAGGGGGTTTCTAGGGTATGTTGTAGTGTACGCATGTAGGATAGTAACACTAGTCATTCACACCTCCATTAACTCCAGATGTTCTGTGGGATTGTTTCATCGACTCTTCCATCCACCCTCTGGCATGATGTATACCAATTACATATCCCAATACAACCAATACCTGCGTTGGGGTCTTCGGAGAGTCAGGGCGACTCTAAACCCTGAACCTTGTGACCTCCCCGAAAACTCACTAAGGCGTTGGGGGTCCAAGGCCTCTTTCCGGTTTCGTCTTACTTAGGGTTTAGGGACATTGTTCCGCGAAATCTTCGACAAAGTCGGGTTCTCGACGGTATGGCAGGGTTGCTTCGCATCTTATTTAGGGTCGACATAATATAGGGGCCTTAATGATTAGAAGTGGGTTCTTGGGGCCCATTATTAACAAAGAACCCCCCCCAAAACAGTATAAGTAACCATTTCGGCCCCTATAGTACTTCAATGAAAGTGAGTCTCCGGTGTGGGGCTGCGCCTAGGAGTCGGAGCTTTCTGCTCGGAGCGTGAGTGGGAAATTGGACCTCTGTCTTCCTTCAACTGGGAGTCTCCGAAAGTTGGGGGTACCGTATTTTGGGGTCCTTGTAATAATGATCCTACACTTTAGGGTACTATATTTAGGTCCCCTATTCTTGGAAACTCCCAAATCTACACACACGCAAAGGATGCTGCATTGCACGGCTGTTGTGATGCTCGACAGAACACCCTCAAACGTGTCAGGTAAGCAAAGGCTGAACCTATGAAAAGGGGGGCCATCGATTTGACGGTACACTCCAAGCCCCCAATCACATTGTCACATACAGCGCTGTTATCCGGAATAATACGTGTGCAACACATACTCATCATTCAAGCCTCTCTGCTACCCCTAGCTTCGAAACCCTAAACCCTGAACACTAATATAGGGACCTTGATAATTAGAATAGGGTTTTGACCCAAGACACAATAAGTATATAAGGAAAACCGCAAAATAGTGTTGGTAACTATATTTCGGCCCCTATAGTATAGTACCCTTCTAGATCCCTTATAGTAACCCTTCTAGACCCGCTTTTAAGGAACCCTATTAAGGCCCCTCTAAGATCCCTTATGGTAGCGGTGATTATTGTTAAGGTCCCTCTAGGCCCCTGTAGTATGGGGCCCAGGCTATCCAGGACTCCCGCATCGCATTCGCGCGCCGGTCCCTGAACAGGCGAGTCCCGGGGCCGAAAACTCCCATGGAGTTAGGGTTTAACAGGGTGTTGCTGGGGTTTAAAGGGTTTGGGAGTTAGTTAGAAACAGGGTGCTAGTAGGGTTTAAGGGGATTCTGGAGGTGAATAACGGGTCCAGGGCCTAGGGTTTGGGACTTTAGGGGTTTAGGGCTTGAGGGTATACCGTTTGGGAGTTTAGGATTTAGCTTTTGGGCTTGAATTTGAGATCTCGAGAAGCTGCCTGGTCTATCTTCGGCGAGTTCGGGGTTGAAGCTCGGCCTATGTTGGATACTTCCCCCATACTATCAGTCAAATATATACCTTATTGAATCTTTCTTTTAGCATCCAGAACTACTTTCCAACTGTTAAGGACTACGTTATGCAGATGTGATGTGGCTTTGGTGGGAGGGCTTCTCAGGCCCTCTGCATTCGCGTAACATCGGCGAGCGTATAGAATTCAGGGTGTCCGGGCCTCAGGACGGGAGAGCAAATTCCGACTCGTTGCGAATATGCCTGCGACGATCTCAGACCTGTTGTGGTTGCTTCCGGACGGCTGCCAGTGTGAGCGTGCATGCGGGATGCTTGACAAAAGTGACGGTCACAGCCTCGCACCGTCCAAAATCATCCAAAAAACACAGATCTCCCGAATTCTAGTGACGACCATTGAACGGCGAAGGCCGAAGCCTGAGCCCTCACCGTCGAGCCGAAACCCGGGACCCTGTCCGGGGGGTTGTATGAAAAGCAGACGAGCACATGCCGACGTGCGCAGGATAGACTCCAAACGCCCTAAAACGAACTGAAAGCGAGTCTACAGCCAAACCCTAAACAGGCCCTAGGCTGCTGGGAGTGTGATTCGGGGTAAGCATCAAAGTGTAAAAATCTCAGATTTCGGCCTTAGGATGAACAGCGTTAGGGTCTAGTTTGGGTTGGTTTCGGAGCGGAACCCAGGTAGATAAAGGGGTTTGGGTATCCTTCGCGCGTTGGAGCACTCGAGTAGACTCAAGCACCCTTTGCAAGAAGCACCTTGAATCCTGCGCAAAAATGTGAACTAAGCTTCCTAAACATCCCAAAACCCAAACCGGCCTCTCAACCTTCCTGTGCCCCCAGTTTGGACCCACAAAATTGAACTACAGCCTAGGCTTGTCGTTAAAGGCAGAACCAGGCCCGACTCGTTTCTGATAATCCAAGGGCAAAAGGAAGGACCCTGAATAAAGACCCCTCGGTATATATATATATATATATATATATATATATATACCCTTAATATCGCTATTATATATAGCCCATTATATAGCCCATTACAGGGTAGGGGTCCCCATTAAGGGTCCCTCCTTTGCCCCTTTGAGATAAGCTTCGATGGCCAAAGCTGGAAGGTAAAGTCGCCAAACTGGTCTAAGTGCATGATCGTCCGCACCTGGGACGGTTTAGGGTTGGGGGCTTGGCTTGGGGGTTTAGGGGCTTAGGGCTTCAGGGTTCGTAGGCTTACGGATATCACGTTTGGTTTAGGTGCTCCGCTATCCCTCTTAAAGAGGCAAAGACTTTGCTGCCGTACAAAATGTCGCATTTAGCATATAATCACTGCACCCCTGCACTGCACGGGTCATGAAATTTGCACACCTGGGAAAGGGGAGAAGGGATCAGTGGGGTTAGGTGACGCAGCGAAGAGTGCGCCTTTTGTCCCAAGCTTTATGCCATGAAATGAAACCGAGGGCAAGAAAGAAAAAACTTTGACTCTGGGAAACATAGGCTTGAGTGTTTAGAAATCAGAATTAGGGCAGGGGCGCACGGTTCCAAGGCCGACGGGTTTTGCCACAAGACCGACCTCTGATGACTTTGTAGCAAAGCCCGACACATTGCAAGGTCTCCTGCTGCCCCACAACAATTCACGGGTGCACTCTAAACCCTAAACCCTAGTGCAGGCAAGACACCAGATTCCACATGGCCACATCCAGCCTAGGTCCATTCATTCAGGGATGCTATGGATTCGCCAGGCCCTCAAAGGACAAAACTCGAATGACACCTGATTCGTGTACCTTTGCAGGCCTTAATGCCAGGATCCTTGTTATGATTCTTATTCGCTGAGAGGGCTTCTTCATCAGGGACCTAGATTAGGCTTGTGCTACACTAACCCTTGAAGGTTGAAGACATCCGGTTCATGGCATCACTGGCTTAGGGCTCATGCTCTGGGTTTCTCACCTGGTTCTTATGATATGCTTGTGAAAACTGGGCCTCTGAGCCCCTACCCGTCGCGCATGAAAATCATCCGTAGACAGGCTCAAAGAGGCCAACTTTGGATTCAAGCCAGTTGGGAAAAGCCATGTCAGATGAAGGCTGCAGAGGGCGCTTCTCGCCCCTTCTTGGATTCTTCTCCATTTCTATCACAGGCTTGCAGGTGCGCGGATTTGAAGTCCCCATGAGACCCAACATGCAAGTCTACCCAGGTACATTTCAGTCCATGCTACGCACTAGCCGGAAACCCTCAATGGCTGTTGAAGGATCGTGGGCCGGGAGGTTCATAGTCGCAGGCCTCGTATCATGACCTAGATGTGTAATCTAAGGCCCTGGGACGATATTTTAGCACATTTTTGGGCATCAGTGTTAGGACTCACCCCTCAACTCAGTCTAATTATAAGATAAGAAGCTCGACAATGAAGCTGATGGCCAGCGCGTCGAAGACCGCCTGCAGTCAGCGCGGCGGAGATTGAGATGGCCATGGTTGGCCGAGCTGCAAAGGGCTCTGTGCACATGTTCGGGTGTCTATATATATATATATATATGGGAGTTTCCGAAAATAGGGGACCCCAATATAGCACCCTAAATAGTCGGATCCTCATTATAAGGACCCCCCCAAGTAAGGTACCCCTTATTTTCGGAAACTCCCATATTAATGTAGGTCATGCATGGCATGGCACACAATGCTCCATAGGATTCTCTACGATGCCTGAAGCTCCATGTGCAAACCTCTAGCTGATTGTTTGGTATAGGTGCCTCAACAACCAGAACTAATAGGGTTTTGGGATGTTTGGGAATAATTTTACCTGAGTTATCATGAATATCATCACATCAGATTGCAAAGGTAGTAGGTGATGGACCGATTTTACCCAGGGTGTGAGCGTCTAAGACTTTGGGAGTTCAGGGTTTA